CAAAGGTCTGCCCGTTTCGCCAATATATTCATCTCCGCAATTGTTACACGAGATCAGGTATATCGTACCTGAACTCATGTTTGGACAGTCATCGTAGTGCGTATGGGAAGAGAAGAGGACGAGAAATCATTCAATTCGATGTGGCTATTAGTCATTTGTAATGGCTGCGACACGATATCTACACAGGATAGGTTTAATGGAAAAACCATGCCTCCAAAGCTAGAATATGGCCTCGTTCATCCTACTCTTAATTTTTAGAGAAATAGGTACAGCTAACAAGCATTGCTTAGAAAGGGTTGGTCTAGATATTTCGGTGGAAATGATTTAAATACTGCCGAACACTCTCATAGTCCGACTAGTTGGTAACCACTTGTGTGGTCGTCTATGCAAAGCGCAAAATTGCATAATATGCCCTAACAGTAGGAAGGGTGAATGCACGGGATCGGACAGGTATAGTGTACGGGTAGTTGACTCTGCGTCCGTATAATAGAGCGCCTTGTCAGTAGACTTAATCCAAATGATTCACTATGCGTGCGCAGGACACACACTCACAAAGAAGAAGATTTTGAAGTAGGTGCTGCCATTCTTGCTCAGAAATGTAAAATATCACTTTGGAAACTCTCGAGGGATCTTGGATAAATTTCGGAATTTCAAAGCTGAACTACAAGAACGAGTGCTTCTTCATCACGTCTGACCTCGCATGGTATCTCGTTCCAATGTTTTAGGCTGTCAGAGGCATATTCTCGATGAAATTCGTTGGGGTCGGTATCAGGGATCGAGTAGAAAAGATAGAAGCTGTGAGTTTTACATGTTGAGTTCATTCTATTAAGGTCAAGAAAGTATATCGCCGAGCAGGGTGCCTAATAAATTTGCTTTTCTAGGCTCTGAGAAGTGTAAAATCCACAGAGATGTTAATTGGTGTGAAATAGATATTGTGTTATCAATCTCGCGCCTGCTCATTAAGGAAACACTAAATTTTTGTTCACGGTCGAGGGTAAGAGAAAATGAGTTCTGGGAATTACAACATGCAGCAGTTTTTCGTTTCACCTCAAAAGGTTAGCTTCGAGGCGAGGCATGGGAATCTTAATACATGCTGAACATCACCTGTAACCACGGAAGAATGTACACGTAGTCATGAGTGTTCATTTTAGCAGTGTATACCGCCTTCATGAACTCTTTCGACATCTCACGAGTGGATGAGAAAATGCAAATTATAACTGAAAATGAAAAAGAAAATGAAAAAGTATGTGGCCACGTTTGTTATGGACAGTGTCAATTCAACGAATGAAGAAAACCTCGAGCATTGTTGGATAACTCGTTGAGCAAACCGGTCTGCGCCATCGAGTTGGCGTCTGAATTCTCATCGAACATAACCTATGAAATCAATGTTAGTCATGGATTTCTGACACGTTCGCAGAATTACTGCGATCGTAAAAAAGAACATGAAGTTTAACCTGGTTGAAATCATCCGTGACATCAAAAAATATGGCTGTCATCGACTAAAACCTTTTTACTTGACGAAACGGGAAAATCGAACTTTCACACCGAGCATGGAGAGTTTTCTATGGTACACATCATAAAGAAAATTCTAATATTGGGTAATTAAATTGAGCACAGCAGATTTGGTGGGACTAGAGGCCGATCTTTCAGCGTATTCGTTCTCTACAGAAGCGTATAAAATTCCATTTGAAATCGAACTGACCTTTTTGTTTATTTTTATGCTCCTCTTGTGGAAGGTTTCTTCGAACCCCTGCATCCTTTCGTAAGCAATCAGGCCAGTACTGGTGGCAATACCAACCTTTAGTTAAAAACAAATTCACAAGAAGTTAAACGCATGACGCTAACAACATATTTGATCTCAAAACCATTTAGCAGTTCGACTATAACTTTTCTGCAAGCTTAGTGAAAATATAACCTTAAAAAAGGTCGGAAGATTCACTAGTTGAAAGGCTTAAATCCAAATTCACCCCCAAAAGAAAACAGCATAATCAAAAAAAACATATGATAGTATGACGAAAGTTTTGCTTTTTAAGCCATCGACTCTTTTGCACGAGTTCCTGTTTCTCCTGTAAAAGAGATAAATTCGCAAAATTTAAGGTAAGAAATCTAAAATCATTAATTGAGATATTTAGATCGCTAGCTGGACCTTGTACAAATGCCGTTACACATGAAACTCTATGAAAAATACGATCCGCTTAGTCAGCATCTTCATATTGGCGCTGTGAAATCTGAGAGTTCGAAATTATTGGCCAAGAGAATTCTGCATCTTGGAACACTCTAGCTGGTAAGCCAAGCTGGAGTCGTCTGAGCAGATAATCACCAGCTTCCATCACGCCTTTCAAAGCTACAGATAAGCGGTAAAAGATTTTAGAGAGAGGACAGCATTACAGACCGAAGTTAGGTTGAAAAGATTGGAACTAGCAATTAAAAATATTCTACATACACCTCACTGAAGCCGTCTACAATAGCACTCTCAGTAAATTGAACGGAGATCGCCCGTGGTAAACTGCAGAGTTCCGAAAAAGATTCAGCGTGATAGATTACGTCTACACGATAGCATAAAAAAACTCGTGAAGGTGCAACGAGAACACAGAAGACTGATTAAGTTTACACGAGATCATTGGATTCCGTTGGGAAATGAACAGTAATGGAACTTCTGGATTCCACAATATTCTATTCAATGCGCCAAGATTTGTTGGGGATACGCCCATAACCAGCATCACGAGGGGGGCTATATGTGGCAGTGGACACATCCCTCGACATGTCATTAGAAGAAAGCTGTTAGACTCGCACATGAAAGGCTACTAGTTCAACACGGACTCTAGCCAGTGGATTTTTTTTCTTGACTCATCACTCGTATTCATCTGTAGACACTGCTGTCTAACAAAAGTAGTAAACAGTTTAGGAATAACTACAATGATGATGAGATATTTGCAAAGCTCCGGACCGCAAGTGTCTGCGGTGGGGAACGAACACGGTACTACCCTTTCCGGGGGCTAACGCGCTCACCACGACAGCATGCAGGTTCATCGCTTCGCCTGTCTCTCAGCTAGTTTAGAAATATCTCATAAACGGTTGTTTAGATTACACATGCACTTTACTGATGTACACCTTGCCGTTTTTCCACCTTATCTGTTTTCAACTATAATCTTTACGTGACCGGTATATCAGCGTTTTCCTTTCGAGGCGTATTTTCTGGAACGTCAAAAGGAAACCGTTCTTCGATGGCATGAGCTCGACCCGATATTGAAGGAGCTGACCGCATTCCAGAAGCTAATAATCAACTGCTTCATATATCTATATATTAATTCATTTGTTGGAAGGACTAAATTAGAGTTAGAGAATAAAGCGAAATCCGTCACATACTGAAGGAACATCAGCAACCACGGTTGTCAGATACTCGCCAGTCTGCCAATTTTTTATCAAATTCACATAGACCGCCGGGAATCGATGTTGGCAATTTGAGAAGGATACCCCAAATTTAAGCAGTCCCAACAAAGGAAATACCATTTTGATGGATATTCTATCCCAACTGTACAATTTGCAAAGGCATGTCGCTTATGAACTCAATTAAGCAAAAGCACCCAACTTGCCATAAAATAAGTGGTTAGTTTCCTCTGAGCATATCGTGAAATATTTGCAAATTTGCAACGAAACAAACACACCCTAGTCCATCCATAGTGACTGAGAATTGCCGCGACCGCTTCCGCTAATGAATTGGTTGTTCCCAGCGACACTCTTGCCAGAGTTTTGTAGATGGACTTGTCAGCAAAGGTGTTTGACGATGCCATGTAACCAACTATTGGAATATTCCAGAATGTTGCCATCTTTGCAACTGCGTCCAATTCTACAATGGCTCATTATAGAATATTTCTTTACGATTATACCTTTCTATCTGAATTTGATGACAAATTTATGTTCACTAACCAGCGTTACAGTAAGGTCCAATAAACGCTCGCACTTTCTTCACGTGGTACATATCGGCGCCCACGGCGACACCCTCAAGCGCTTCGCCACAGCCCATTTGGTTGTTGATCCTGAAATTACAGCTGTAATAGTTCGGAATACATCGCTTTTCATTTCGTTCTGTTACTTTCAGACACGATTCCATTGCTTCATGGCTGCTTTCATCGATCGTGAAGCATTGTCGTTAAAAACGACATGAATGATATTCTGTTGCTATTTTCAGCACAAAAAAAACAACTCGCGGTCCCTGCTAAACTAAGTAGAGCCGTTACAAAAGGAAGGCTTGATAATCAAACGCTTTTTTACGTTTACACTCGTTGTGAACCAGGAATTATGACAATGTGACAACAGAAGTCTCAAAGAAATAAAATCGACAAGTCGTTTTCACTATGTATTCTTTCACTGTTAACGTATGACATTTCTTAAAAAAGTTTGTTTGGCTAAGGCTCACATCAGAATAAGGAGCAACTGTGAGCAATCGCCTCGGCTCAAACTGGCTCTGAAGACGAAAGCACCAAATTGCTACTCAAATGATGTTTCTTTTTGTCAATCTCGTGTTAGCTTACCAATAAAAGGACGCATATTTGCTAACCTTAGTGGAGCGCTGTGGCTCACTAAACGCCTGCAAGTGCTCGTTTTTTTTTTACAAACGTCTCCAAACTAAGTGGAAAAATTGAAAGCGTATTGCAATAGCTTGAATTAATAGTTAAACATTTTAGCACCACCGCTACCGTAATCATCAATAGCACATCGAAAGTGGAGCACCACAAGTGTTCAGAAAAATTCATTAAAAAAAGAGAAAACTAGGGAAGAATCTGCTTACTCGATATCAAAATCTTCACCCAGAACGCCATCATACCACAGCTCCTTCCGTGAGATTTCGAGAATTTTCTCGCTATTTTTCATGTAACCGGCTGCTCCAATATGTCCAACACGCACCTGAAAGCGAAGAACATGGCAGTTCAACGCTTTGAAAACGACGTAATTTATCCATATATATATATATATATATATATATATATATATATATATATATATATATGCTTCCTCTACTAGTTTGCTTCTTTTTTTTGACAAATTGAAGACATTTCAGTTATTATGGAAAAGCTCTATGTATCCCCCCGCTTCAAAGTTTGTTACCCAGGCGTCCTATTTGGTTGAAAATAAATAACAAATTCGAGTAGGTCTTATGAAATACCAAAGAATGCGGAATTTCACGGACAACGAAGAAATAACAATCAAGATTACAATTAGGGAGCAAAGTTGCAGAACTGTAGAAGTGTTCTGTACTAATCGCAAAATTTCGCCAAATGAGGTGCAGAACCAGTATACTAAGATCAAATGTGAGTCATTAACTGACTACAGATTGATTCATTTACCTGAGGCAGAAACTCGGTTGGTTGTACTTTTACGGTACTGGTCGAACTAAGGAAACATTGACTAAGGAATCTAGGACAATCATTACTAGAACTGGTAATTCGGATTCCATTTCGCCCTTGAGTTGTCAATCAATTTTTAAACTCTATTTTCATACTTGAGCTTGGTTTAGACATCGCGCTTGAGTCAACTGATAGCACGACTGATTGAAGGAATCGCTACTGAAACGAAGTTTTTCTCGGATCCACATCCTGGCAAAGATCTCAAATTTAAGTCAGAACACTAGAAGAAAATAAATTACCCAAACAGCTATAAACTAACTTCAGTACCCTACACACTGAGAGGTTTGATCTATAATGTTAGATGAGACGGCCAATGAAAGGTGACTGAATCGCGGGTGATGCAGAACTAAACAGAAACAAGATCTGACCAACCCACACACGACGTCCCATAGAGATTGTTTCTTACTCTGCACGCACAATAGCAGAACACTGTTTTAAGACGCGGATCTTCACTCCATTCTTGAAACAGCAGATCGCATCAAATTTCTTGTAATCGTCCTACTAAAACAGTACCTAGAAAGACTGGTATAAGGAAATTAGACGATGAGCCCCACGTCATTTGTGAAGAAAAGGAATCCCGCACAGAATTTCGGTAGCACTAGTCCATTACCTTTTTGTTGGAATCACATGATCTCTTTTCCCATTGCTTATTCTTTGTCTTTAACCCATGCGTTAGAAAAGATGAATATATTCAATACGATTACGACAATACGATTCCGTGTGAACTCTGTGCGGTTGGTCTTCATGTAACATATTTAGTGGAGGACTCATAGAAAGCGGCTCTGAGAAAGGCGAAATCCGTCGAAACGTCAGTTTGTACGTAAATAAAAAAGTAGAATAACACCTTGTGTTTGCTGAACAGAATTACGATGAATATATTCAATTACTGCTCACCGAACGATGTAGCTGGTGAGTACGAATTACATACGTTATAGCGCCAGTTGGAGAAAGCTATTCGCAACGATAAGTCCTTTTATAAATTTGTTCTTGGAATCTTTAAAGCCAGAAGAGCAAAGGCCAACCAGAGCAAACGACAATAGAAACCTTCTTGGAGAACACTTGTCCGCAGCACGTCTCTTTTCCCGAAATTCATTTTTCCAGGCGAGAGAAGATTGCCGCTGGATATGAGGAGTCGCCTAGCGGTAGGATACATGCAGAGATAGAACATATGTAGCAAATGGTGCCTGCTTGACAAACCGTGTTTTCAACATTCTGCACTCTTAATAACTCAAAAATCTGCGCTCTAACCGACCACTACTTTTTCCATGAAAAGACTCGATTCAGCCACAAGCTGAAAAATAATTAATGCCATCGACTAAGAAAAGAATGAGAAGCTGTACATAACGGAGAAATTCGGAGCAAAGTCCAACAGAAACATGACTAACCAATTAAAAAGAAGTTAGCAAAAGACTACGAGATTCTTGTGGAAAGAATCGAAACTTGTGCCAAATTGATGGCAATTTGTCAAGGAAGTAGTTCAGACAACGACTTCAATACCGCTACCATGTTAGTCGAGAAAGGAACGAAACTGAAGCTCGATTCTACTGCAACACGTTTTTCACGGCTATTAAGAATTTTCAGTTGAAGAAGATCTTGTCAGCAGACAAGATTTACATCGGCTCAAGGAGAGGCAAGTACTAGAAGCATCACAAAAAGCTATCATTTTGAATAAATGCCGTCTAGACTTGTGCCACAATAATGTTCCGCTGTTGCTTCTGATAAACGAAAATGAGTTCACCAAAACTGTCCGCCATCATATGGATAAAGAAAAATTTTTACGGTAACGTTTTCACATTCACAATCTTCTTATCGAGACCTCACATCCTCGCTGGAGGAAAACTACCTCCATATCTTCCCACTGAGGCTCGAGTTGCAAGGGTAATCATCAAAAAAGGGCTATCGAGTCTTTTAGACTGGAAGCCACAACATTCATTTACTTCTCGAAACTCATATGTCATCTGATCTTTAAAAGGAAAAAACTGGAAGCCAGTGGAAGATGTAGTGTTCGGCTACTACTCTTCCGAAAAAGGGTTTCCGGTTGAATTTTTGTAACTACTGTGCGAATTGCTTGTTAACTGCAACTCACAAGTTCTTCGCCAAGATGATCTTGCCGTATATATAAAGGACTTTGAGTGAGGCAACATCATTTGAGCAAACAGAATTTCGACAGAAATTTTGCTACATTGACTACAGCGAAACCGTGTCTAGGGTCATAGAATGGCGGGCGGCTCTGGCCAAAGAGTGGATAGGTCTTACATAGGAACTCAATTAATATGGAAAATAATATTAATATGACAGAGTCTCATTCGAAAGGTGACCCTCTTAGGATGATCAGACTCGATAGGATAGAAGGCGTCACATCGAGAAGACGAACGATTGTGGACTACATCCTCAGATCATCGGCTCTGATTAAAACGTAAAATATTAGAACGTCAGCCGAGTAAATATTTTGTAACAACGTCTTTCTAGCCTATCAGTGAAGCAAGGCCGATTAAAAAGGATTTGAACAGGTGGAAAAGAAGCATGAGACCCATTCGGAGCTCTCAGCGAACCATACGACCATCTAAAATACACAAAAGTCCGCGCTCATCTTTTCGATTCAACAGTGCTCCTAGAGCATTGTTATGCAGAGAAGACGTTAACACATAATTCAGCCACGTCAAGAACCGATGTCTTCCAAAGCATCATCGGCACGTCTAACATCTAGCCAGAATGGTAAGCTCAGATCTTCAAAATCTGTCCCATCTTGGAAACCCACAACGTTAGAAATCGACTGCTAAATATAAAAGAGCAGGTTATATAGTGAAAACAGCAGACTACTGATGACGAAAGGGACCGTACAGTGGACTCAACAAGGATTAAGGCGCCTCCTAGGGCTACCACCAATACGCATGACGGAAGTGTTCGCAACCGAAGCCCGTTGCGGTTCTTACAGCTGTAGCCGTTTTGTAGATCGCGATGTAAGACTCGCACTCGCCACCATGCCCAAGTTATACCACCACTTTGGACGATGGTTGCGAAGCAAAAATGCGAATGGAAAATGTGCTGGGGTCCACCCTACGCATAAAGATGGGCCGTCAAAGTATACAAGTAAGCAATTAAAACTGGTTCTGATGCAATTATTATCCCAACATATACAATTTCATCGGGAGGTTCCTATCACGTAATGTTTAACTGCAAACCTTGGCATTATTTGGGAAATATTGCGCCCCATCTGAGGTTTTAAGAAATCGAAATTCGTCTGCCTACTACGATTTAGTTTTCAATATATCTCCTTACTTACTTGAATTTATAGTACATTAGAGAGCACTGTCTTCGCAGTGAAAAAGAATCTCCATTTTAAGACGTATGTCACCCGATTGGGATAAGAAAGGCATACTTTTTGATGGAAAATTCCTATCAAACCTTCGTTTTGCAGGCGACATTGTCATCTTCTCAAGAAGTACTAGCGAAGCAGAGGTGATGATCAACAAGCTCAACGAAGCAGGGAAAAAGATCGGACTTCGCATAAATCGAAAAAAGACCCAGTTCATAAAAGCCCATGGTGCGAAGGCGAAAAAATTGAATTGGATGGCTCTCTCAATGCAGAGACCACCTCGTACGTTTACCTTGGACGATCAATGAAAATGGAAAACAACATAAAGGGGGAACTAGATAGAAGGAGGTAACCGGCTCGGCTGCATTAAGGTGTCTCAAAGAAGCCACCGACAACTAAAAGACCCGAAAATCCTCGCTCCTTCCCAGCGCTCTGTTATGCTGCAGAGACATGGGTTGACAATTCAAATACTTCAAGAATGCTTCGAATTACTCACAGACCGCTTGAGCGGTGTCTTCTGAAATATAACCAACACTCTCAATATGTAGCCGGAATGCGAAGCTCTGGCCTTCGAAATCTGTCACATCTTCGAGATCCAGGAGAATATACATCGACAGCGAAACATAGATGCGTCGGTCACATAGTGAGAAGAGGAATAGGTGACAGATGGACGAAAAGAACAGTAGAGTGGACTCCAAGAAAATGCAAGCGTATCCTTGGACGGTCATCTACACGTTGGGCGAACGTGTTCGTAAACAAATTTAATCAGCTGTACCCGCAGCTGCAGTTGTTCTACAGATCACGGTATGAGACTCGCAAGCGCTATCATGCTCGAACAACACCACAACCATAGACTACGTTTGCGAGAGAAAAGAACGAATGGCATATGTGCTGGAATCCGCACAGCTCGTGAAGGCGAACCGTCCAACTATCCAAGTAAGTTACACAATTCCGTGGTTTGAGGTGTGACACATAAATAGTTCTCCCTGATAGGACGAGAGAAGCAGACACCACAAGAAGACGCCACTACAAAACTCAACTTCACATAACGTATGACCCTCAGCATATCTTCATGCTATTGCTCAAAATTCATCATTATGCATGAAGGTTTTGGATTTCCTGCTTTCACTTCTCTGATATTTGAAGATTCC